TTCGTTAGGGATTCTATTTCTATTTAAGCGTATCCAGATTAGCGTATTTATGTACTTATATTAACATGTACAGTGTGGCGTACATACTTTTATTTATTTCTATTTTGTTTCATTGCAATTGGGTGGCAGTATTCATTAGAAGTAGTAGTACTTAGCAGAAACAGTAGCAGCAGCAGCAGCAGTAGCAGCAGTAGGTCTTTCGATCGCTCGTCTGTAGTAAGAAGACTTGCAGAAGGGCACACGTTTTCTTTTTTTTTTGGTGATCATAGAATGAATGTATCATATTGAAAGTTCCATGATAACTACCATATGAATACACCTCTGCGAATGTTTTCAAATTCAAAACACTCCTTAAGGTGCTTCGGGGCGTTTACGGTAGCTGGCAATATCAAGTGCCGGCCATTCACAATCTCCGTGAAACCGAGCCTGTAATATTTTCAATTTTGTCGTTTTGTACGTTCTTTTTTAATTTCATGCAAACTAAACTTTGTTACAAGCATGTTTACTAAACGTGTGTCATCTGTCTTTGCTACATCATCAATCTTGATGTTTACCAAATTCGTCAAATGTGAAGCGTTATATATTTTGTAAATCTTTTTTGGGAATTAAAAAGTAAGATTTGTTTTACTGTCATCTTGTAAATCAAAATGAAAATGAAAATTTAATATCATTGAAATGTAGTTTCAAAAGGACCAATAAATATGTTTCTACATTTTTTACGTTGTGTTTTATTGCAAAAATGCGGTCTTCGATTTTTAAACTGTACAGAAATTTATAAAAGCTAAATAAATATGACATATGGTTTGATTTAAAAATGTAAATAAGTAACAAACATTAAGTATAGACAAAAAGAAACTAGTCTTAACAAAACATACCATCAAAACGAACGTTTCTTATTATTTCAAAGGTGTCCATTGGACGAAACTCGCACAGAAAATAATCGGAACGTTTTGTTTGTGTTATTTCCCTTCCGGTGATGTTAACGGCTGTTTGTTTTATAATATTTTTGATACGCGAGACAATCAGTGATCAGAAAAGGATATATGATTAAAATCTTATGTAAGTTAAATGTTGTATGGAGAGCTGTCCTACTCACCCCGACATCGGCATCCGCGTTCACGCCCGCGTTAAATAAAACATTTTTACTCTAACGTTTTTTATTGTTGAGGTATCAACTTCATTATCAACCACATCATAATGACAAGGTTAATATCTGTAACAGCGATATTTTCAGAATTCTCTCGCATTGAACTTAGAGTTTGCCTTAAAAATGTTATTATTTACTCTTGCCTCTTTATTTTATTTGGGATCTACTCTAAACTTCAACAATATATGTTCTTTATTAGCAAACATATAATATGTGACAATAATCTTTTCTCAGGCACCAATATTTCCAGAGTTTTATTCCCATGAACTTAGTTTTTTCCTTAATAATTTTACTCTTCTTTATGTTAATAAGTATAAATTTCAAACTATGAGTTTAAGTTTGATATCATTTTCCATATCATAAAAAATGTGAAGAGTTAATATATTCTCTTCCACTAAGACTCTTCCTTATTATTTAATGTTACTTCTTCAAATCTAAAAAAATGTGTTAGTTATTATATGTAAAACCTACATCATATGCAACTTGATTTATAAGTCAAGCTCCTGTTCTTCTAGAATTATCTACATAACGAACTTGGAATTTATTTGAAAATTGCTGTATTGTTTAAACGATTTTTTTTTGTCATTATAAATGGTATCTACTTTAGACTTAAGATAATTGTTCACTGTCATAACTTATATCGAGTGCTACAAGGTTTTTCATAACTCTAACATGTTTATTTTAAGAGTTTTTTGTTCCCTTTTGAACTGATATTGTAACTTAAAAAAGCTTTTGCTGTTATCTTTTTCTGTGCTTGAAGGGATTGACTGTAGATTTCAAATTATGGTCTTTTCCATTAGAAGATAAAAAATTCTATTTAATTTTTAATGACATGGTCACGTGCATATTATGTGGTGCAAACATTGAACGTTTAGGAGCTTTCTTGATACTGATACAGAAATATATTTATATAACAATTAATTTCTTAATAGTTTTGTATTCCTTTACTTCATGCTGTATTTGATTTTAATTAGTTGAGCATGTTCCTCATCTGACAGATCATGTTTTCTTTTTGAATTAATTTTCACTTCTAACACTGAATGCTTGTTTGTTCTGTTGTGTTTTTAAGTCACGCCGACATTGAAATCTACAAAAACAGATCAACAAGGAAGGGCGGCATTCAATGAATGCATCCCTAATACAAGCCAGCAACACAGCATCACTGACATGGAGCCCAGTAGGACACTAAACAAAAACTGGCAAAGGCCGATGGCAAGTTATACGGTGTAAGAAAACAGAATATTGATTAAAAAACTGACTGCTTGGTTGTGACATAACACGAGCGTAACTTAATGAAAGGTAAAAGAATAAGAATAATCTACCAGAAAAAAAAAATAAAAAAACAACAGATATCAACAATTTCTTCCCGAGAAAACTCTAGTCTTGACGTATATTAACTCCAAAATACAACAAGTAGTAGAAAATAGACACTCTAAAAAAAAAGACATCATGTTGAGCGTCCGTTGCCTGGTGATTGAAACAGCTGCCCTAAAATCAACGCCGTTGGGGATTCTAACTGGAAGAAAATGGAAACAAAGTGATCCGTCGGAAATATTTATCACAACAGAATTACATGAAAATTGCAGACTCGGTTTGATTGAGTCTGTACATGAACTCTTTCATTTGAGAAAAATAACAAGTTTACGACTGGTCACTGATTCAGATGCACACTCGTGTCCGAAATGATTTCCACACGGATAACCGAAGCCTACAGTCACATATAAAGCTACAATATCGATGACATGTTACATAAAGAAATAATTCCGGCAGTGTCGCACTGATCACAACATATATATTTTAAAGTATGTGTTAGATTTTAAACCTGTAAGAAAGAATGCAGATATTTAAGTTGTTAATGTATTCGCTACACAATCACATCAGTGTTTATAAACCACGAAATATGTTGCAATACTGTTAACAAAGAAAATGTAATTTCCAGCAACATTGCCTGGCACTCTTGCATTTGACCCTGTAATCGGTATATTCCGTAAACGTTACTATCTACTTGTTAATCGAATGCAAATATCTATAGTAAATATTAAAAATACCTCTTTGCGCAGTTGGTAAAGGGGTTTCACTTTAAAATATGATAAACAAGATCGACAAGGAAAGGCGGCATTCAATGAACGCAGCCCCCACCCGACCCAGCAACAAGCGCCAGCGGCAAGGAGCCCAGGAGGACCCCAAAGAAAAACAGGACTGGGCACAAGGCAGAGTACGGGCAGGCAAACCACTACATCAGAATACATAATAAGTAACTTATAAGGAAATAAAACAAAACAAATAAAGTTCTTTTTTCTTCTTTATTTTAATTTCAAAAATTTCATTTTCTGAAATCTATTGTAAAGATGTTTGTGTGTACTTTCTATGTAGTATCTTTATAGCGTGTTTGCGCTTAAGCATATACGATTGCATATTGTCACAAAGATAACCGTTGAGATATACAAACATATTATTGTTTATAAAACACCACTTAAAAGGTATTCTAAAACCAGGTTTTCTTAGTAAAACTATTTCAAATTAATTCTTGCAAGTAAATGACCTTTACGAAAGTTAATGAAGTGCTTGGACAAAATAATAATGGGTTTAACTCTTTCGTGTATCTTACAATAGTTTTGTTATTGTAATGTCCCTTACGTTTGTTAACATCATAATATTAAATCAATGGATTTTTTTTTAATCTCAAAAGATTTCTTAAAAGGGATTATTTTTTTGACCAGTTAATTGTTCATGGTCAGTCTCAATCAAACCGATGTTAAAACATTTTCAACTTTACCGTTTTGAGCTTTCTGTAGAGATTCCGTTTTTCTATATTTTACAGAGCCTTATATATCCTCTTACGAAACTCTTGGTGGCTGTTATATGCCCTTTCTAAACTCTTGGAGCATGCGAATGTGTGTGTATGCGAATCGTTCAATACGTACCACGTGTTTTTTTATGCAACAGAAGAAAATTGATTGCTTGAAATGGCATTTGCTCCACCAAAACACAAACACGTGTTGTGCACAGCAGTCTTGCGTACACATGATATCCATAATTATGCGCGCTATTTCATTAGTAAGCATTGTGATATTTTGTCTGCATTGAAATTACCCGACAAGTAACAGTTAAACACGGTTTATGCTACTTAACATAAAAATATTACATCAATTTGTGCGGTATATGGTGTTTTATGAGTGGTATTCATTTTGTAAAGCGGGAGCTATTTATAACGTGCCAGTGACGTTTGTTTTTAAAAATAGAAGATCGGGAAAAAACGAATCCACCGCTTTACTAATTTAAATACTGTATGGTGATAGTGAGCAGACAGTAGATTAGAGATACATGTATTGAGGGGTTTCCTTATTGTTTGTGTACTTGATCGTCGGCAAAATTCATTTTCCACATTAATTATACAGTGTATATGAATCGATTTATAAAAAACTAATATATCAAACCTTTAGAAAAGCTGAAGGCCGCTTTAAAACATGTATGGTGTCAAGAGTTATAGGAGTTTATTTGACCATTATTGAGATTGTCGCACATGAGTTGTACGGGGGTCAGATTTATTGTTCTTATTTCCAAACCTTTACCCGTTCATGTACATACCTTATCCCTATCCCGCTTAGCAATTTGAAATTCATTGTTTTATATTCATACGTATATCAGGATTAAGGGCTTTGTACGGGTTTTCCCAATGCGAGAAGTACACTGTCCGCACTATTTAGAAAAAAAAGTTGTTAATATATAGAAATACGAAAGCTGTATAAGGAACACGCTGGAAGGTCTTTTATGAGTACACATTTTTGCCAAGGTATAATAAGAAAAGGGAACAATCAGTTTCTTCTCTATTTTACAACAACAAAGGGATATCTATGTTTCCAATACTTTATTGATATATGTTCAACAAAGTTATACTAAAGTGTCCATCACTGACGGTTTACAACCCCTTCTTCTCACAAAGACCATCGGAACGGCAGTAGAATTTTGTGCTCAGACAGTCGCACTTATCGTGCATCATTTCGTTCTTCTTCCTCTTGGCACCAGGTATACACTCATCTCCAAGCACCCCACGTCTTCTACAGAACCCATCCACGCAGCAGTGCCGCCATGCACAGTCCTTGTTCACCTCGCATCGGGTCGGCTCACATTTTCCGATATCAAACTGGCCATTTGAATGGGGATTGCACGATAGATCTTTATCACAAGGGCAATAATCTATCATAACTCTACCCCTTTCCCCTCTGAATGGTTGCTGGCTGACAATGCATTTTGCGTTCATTTCTGACCAATGAACGCAGTGCTGGACATCCCCGGCCTTCAGACAGCACTCCTTCCTGCGACAGTCAGATTTCTTCTCGCAGCTTCGGTGCCCATTGACAGAACAAACGGCAAAAAGTACCAAAAGGCAAAGGATCGTTTTCCCAACCATCCTGTAGAGATCTGGAAAAAAAATTATGTCGATATCTTGAATAAGTGCACGATATATATTAACTAAAACAATCAGGGCTTTTGTTTATTAAAAAACAAACATTATAACAAAAAAAAAATATTTGTGTGTACGGAGTATTTCATTCATTTGGGTAAATTAGACATAGATCAACGGACTTTGGTGTTTGGTGTAACTGTTAGTTTAGCTAAAACTTTTAAAGTTTATTTTTTATTCCAATAGATTTAAGCCCATGATCGCTCTACAAGCATGGCAAAATATGGCAAACACAAAGACGTATAAATGTACATAATAATTCAAGCGTTAAAAATAATTCGTACAAATACAAATGATAATTTGTTGACATCAACTATGCATTATAATATGAATTTACAATGCGGATACAAAGGACAGACCCTGAAGATATTTTATTTTTTTTATTTTTAAGTCCAAGCTTTGTAATTATATTGTTTACGCAAGTCCCAGCTTTGTAATTATATTGTTTACGCAAGTTCCAGCTTTGTAATTATATTGTTTACGCGTCACCAAAAATATATTCTCAAGTTAGAAACAGCTTACGTTGCCACTCCTGGCGCAACGAAATCCATGACTAACTGAATCTTATATGTATTGGTATGTGTTTGTAAGTCTAACTTCTAATTAAAGTAAAAGAAAAGCAAATATCAAATTCATAGTGAGCAAATATAAAATCCTTACCAAGACCTGAGGGACAAAAATCTTTATACACGTTATAACATTTACGCATTACTTTAAAGATCCTGTAACACATTTTTCTATGGTTTTAAATATGATGCTCAAATTAAGATTCGTCAATATTGTACGTTCAAAAAGCATTATTTATAAAGATATTACCGAATTTAACATTTCACGTAAATAAAAGGAGGTAATTAGACATTTATTTTCTTTAAAGTTTTAGTCAAATTTAACAATAAGAAATGATGCATATATTTTAATGATTACATATTATATGCACAAACATTTGCTGTTCATATTTTACATGTTCTTCAATGTTTAAAAATTGTTTATTTGGATAATTATGAACATTTATATAATTTCACTTAGTGTGTATAACCACTTTGGTCACAACATTCAGGATCTTTATCAATACTTGTAAGATTTTTCTAAAGCAAATTTCAAGTTGCTGTGTTGTTTTTTATGTTTACAAATATCCAAAATTTCTTTGGATAACAATTCAGCAAGTTTAATCATGTTTAGGTGTTTCCAATATGTTTAACAAAGTATACATGCATATTGTCAATAAAATATTGTACAAGGAAGACTTCAGAATATAGTAATGATTTTGTCACTATGATAAGATTTATAAAAAAAATATTCATTTAAGATAATTTTGCAATTTTACAAGAATTTTATTTTTTAAATATAATTCCATCTTTTGATATCAACTTAATGCCGAATATTGAGAGTCAAATCTTACTAAATTAAATTAATTACGTTAATTTTTTAATTTATTTATCTTCTATTATAGAAACTGTTTTTGTAATTGCGCTGAAAGGAAAGTCTTATCGGAAAAAAAGAAAGAAAACAAAATAGAATCTATAACATCTGCTTACATTTCATATTTTTCAAAGCCAGATACCCCTGTCTTGACCTTGGAAGGCTTAAGATGATAAATACAATTATTGGAAATAAAATCATTTTATATCAATACACAATATACGAAGAGGCATACAAACGGGAATATTAAGATTATTTAAAACGTGTGTTTTGATGTCTAAAATTATAGCGATATTTGAAAGCGTTGCAAAGTCCACAGTAATGAATATACTTGGACATTCAAATGAACAAATTAAAACACAAATTGTCACCGTTATCATTATATTTCACTCGATGTTAACTTAAGATAAGTGTCTCACGTTATGTAATTAATATATTTTTGTTATTTTGAAATTAAAGTAAATTATTTCACATTAACATTTTGTACGCTTTGTTTTCTTTAAACGAACATGTATTATTGCAACAAACGTTGAAGTCTTGTCTCGCATTGTTATAAAAAAATTAATTCGGTATACTTGTTAAAATAACCACACACTTAAGTTAATTTTAAGATAGAAAGTCAAATATCCCCAGCTTCTTAATTCGAGAAGTTCCACTGCTTAAAATATCTTAAAAAATAATCGCCACTGAATAAACATTTGAGAAATTATTACAAGATTTTTACTTGAGTTCAATGAAAATAAGAAAAGTCACTTACATTTCAGGCTTCTTCTGCGCTCAAGGAATGCCTCTGCACAAATTGTCTATTACGCTGAGTTATGCTTATTTATATAACTCTTGTGGAAAAAAAACTAAACGATTCGCATGTGGCATGATATAACGGAGGGATTATTCCACATGTGTGACAGTATAATTTCATAACGCCATTAGTTAATCATTGCCCACATGTTACAATCTTAATGAGACATTTAGATTAACTTATATCATTTCTTATAATATCATATACCATATGTTAACTTAAATCCCTCAAATATCGAAATTCACAGGTAAGAAGATTGAATCATGACCTTGACATTTTGAAGCCTTTTGTTTTTATCACTTGAAAGTGGACTTGAACGGTCTCAAAAAAGTCACGTATGCGATGTCCAGCTGTTTGTTTTTCTTGTCCTCGAGAGATTTTCTTATTTCTAAATGTTTATACATTATACAATTTAATGTTCTCATCAGCACGTAAACTAACAATTAAACATATTTGAAGGACAAACTTCGAAATCAACAGAACGTTTCAAAGGATACCAACCAATATTCGGACAAATTTCTTTTCAGACTTTTTGTAAACTAGTGCCATCCCTCCGAAATTTAGAAGATTTTACATTTTGCCAGCTAATCCCGGGATAAAAACCATATTTTACAGTTGCAAGATCGAAAATGAACACAACAGGTTCATTAATATATGGTGAACGGTATTGTAAAGTGACGTAAATATTAGTTTGAACCGGAAATTAGCTTCGAAAAAAATATTTGTCAAGTTCCGAATAACATCTATATGGCCGACGATCCGATCTCCTCGGCTATCATGCTTCACAATAGACCTGTGACGTAATAAGCGACATATTGGAACTACTAGACCCACATGATTCCGCCATTTTGTTTGTTTTTGTTACGACGTTGGTTTAAAATTAAAATGCACCATTTATTTATTGTTTTACATCAATGTGACTCGAGACAATTGAAAAAAATAATAGAAGAAGTTATCACGAAGAGAAATAATCTAACTACTCAGAGATATGTCATTTGTTACACTCCCGCGAATGAACACTGGGGCGAATTGGTTTGGTGTGAATTCGTGTCCTAAGCAAGACAGCTCTTATCCGAATTATACGGGAAGAGCCGTGTTATACGATTGCTGGAAAGAGATAAAACATCGCAAGAGGTGAAAACTAAATGGTCTGACTCAGTTAAATGTTAAGGATCAACATGGTCGTCATCTTCTTGCACATGGATAAACAAGTCATCCGACAACACCAGAAAGGCAGCGAATGCACATTATTATGATAAGAGGTCGGGAACGGCGTATGCAGTTCTGGACAATTAAACCAATCTATGTTATTCAGTTGATTCTATAAGTACTTACAGAAATATTGATGTAATTAATTTATCTTTAACTTCCTGAAACTATATTACAGATGGGCTGCACATTTCAAAAACATTACGTGAAATATCAACATATTCTCGAAATCGACTAAACAATTTTTTTTAAATAGTCAAACGTTGGTACACAATCCCATGTAACTAAAATTCTCCAAATGTTTGGACGTTATAGAATTTATATCTCAAATTGATAAAGCCATTACCAATTAGTTAAGTCACGTTCGTGAACATGGATTAGCAACATGTGCACATAATCTGTTTAAACGCAAACCCTGTCACATTATTTCTGCTTCATATATTAAAGTTGTCTTAATGGCATTTTTTATCCAAAATAGAACTATTTTACGAGATATAATGGTTAATACGATAGCTTTGATATGATTATTTGGAGCCATAAGGATAGATAGTTTTTGCGCACTCGGAATTTCACATTCACATTCGTTTCGAAAAACACACGTAAGCATGTTTTCATTACATCATTAGGGGCAGCTGTTGTAGAAGTTAACGAAAACAGTCAAATAAATGATAATGATAATTGTATTAATGAAATGTTCAAAGGAACTTCACAGAAATGCTTAACATATGTTTGTATATTACTAATATTTGAGCAAAACACATAAAATATATACTGTTACCATAAAAGGCAATATAGAGATATCAAGAAAGATCAGTAAGATGTAATTATGCGTAAGATTAAAGTAAAACAGGTACTTATCAAGATGGGAATTTCTGTATGGTTGCTTTATGCTTTTATCCAAATCTGGTTGAAGTTTTCCGTCCGTTCCTCTCGATCCATTACTCAAAACTGCTATATTAAATTGCGATGTTAGACGCGATCCTGAGTTATGGAACTTTGTTACATAAAATAGGCTTTTTGGAGGGAAATTAATGTATAAAGATATATCTTAACAGTTGGTTAATTTGATAATTATAACATTTAGCATGAATGTAAATAATAAACGGATTACCATAATCATCAAATATTATTAAAAACCTTGAAATACTTTATCAAAATATGACTCTTTGTTATTTAAAAGAAATTGGAATTATTGTATAGATATTGGCGCATTACTGACGACCTTCACAGTAATATTTCTTAATATGAGCCGCGCCATGACAAAACCAACATAATACATTTGCGACCAGCATGGATATAGACCAGCCTGCGCACCCGCGCAGTCTGATTAGGATCCATGCTGTTCGCTATCAGTTTCTGTACTTGTTATGGGCTTTATTAGCGAACAGCATGGATCCTAATCAGATTGCGCGGATGCGCAGGCTGGTCTGGATCCATGCTGGTCGCAAACGCATTATGTTGGTTTTGACGCTTCTCATATATTGACTCTAATATTCCTTAATAAATTATTGTGTATTTGGTAAGACATGATTCACATTACATAACATCTAAGAATTGCCATTTGCGATTTAGAGTTATCCGTTTTCGAGAATGAGTTCTATTCGGGTTTATTTCTAGATCAGAGACGAATACATTTTTACTTCTTTCAAAAAGGCAAAATTTGAGTTGTATATTATTGTAATATTGGTTTTAGAGCAGGTTAGATGTTCGACACCAGACGAAAATACCGCTTAATGTTAATAATTTGTCAAACAGGGAGCAAAATGGAAACAAATTAGTATTTTGACTTACAAAACACAAAATCACTGTACCAAAAAGTAGCAGAAGAAAAAGAAGTTTCAGATAGTTAGCCAATGGCTATCTTTTTAAATCTACAATAATTCGCAAATGAAAAGCTTTTAAGAAGTAAAAATAAAAACATTTTTAGTGCCTACTCAGCGTTCAAATATAAATCGACTTTGTACGAGGGTTGTCCAAAAAGTTCGCGTAAAAAAATTATTTTGAAAAATATAACGCACTTTTTATAATTATTATTCATTTAGGAAATATTTATATTTACGATTTTAAAATCTAGCCAAGTGGTATCATATATGGATAGTAGGTCATTTCTTTAAAAAACTTAGTATAATGATTTTTATTTAAGTATTCAACAATTATGTTAAATTTCATTAGATGCAGTTACATTTTTACTCACTTTCGCCTTCTTTGTGCAATTCATTCGTAGACATTTCAATGTTTATGTTAATAAGATCTTGACCGACAATAGCATGCTTGATACAACAAATAAAACAATACTTCTTAATACGATAGATGTTATTAATTACATATTGTACTTAAATATCACTTACACTGCTTTGATCAAGACCTCGTTTTTATTTAAAAAAAAACTATTAAAAAACATGAAGAGTTTCGGTCGGGTTATGAAATTGCTTTGATTGGCTGGGATCAAAGCACTGAAAGGGCCTAAAAGGATACACTCCGTATGGGAAAGCATCACGCCCCTTGCGTTCCTGTGGTTTAGATGATGTCATTGTCGATGCTATGGGAAATATTTATTTATACATTGTGGTACCCTACTTCTTATGTAAATTTAATTTCTTCAAGAATTGTGAAGGTAGGAAAAAAAGATAATGCTCGATACCTGTTTATAGCAAGAATCGAGTAATAAACTGTTTGAATAAAAATCGGTTCCTAGTTGTCGCTCTTTGATGACGTCATTTTGCGATAAAGTGGACACTCCAAAGTCGAAGATTTCTTTACATATGTAAGCAGACATTTAGAGCGATCTTTATCCTTGCTCTTGTTACAATGTAATTTCGCAGATATATTTCATTACCAAACAATTGCATTATCGAATAAATACATTAACAAATGGTCAACTAAAATGTGTGTACTATTTGATAGGTTTACCTATATTCCAATGTTGTCATTCGTCGTTTTGATTCTAAATACTAAAACAGGTCATATATTGCTTTATCACATAGTTTAAATAAACGCGTTAGCAATTTAGTATTACAAAATATTAGAAACGTGTTTCGAAAACAAAAATGCGACATTATTTTCTAGATAATTAATTTGATATTTGGACGACTATATGGATTCACTTTATTTCACTAAATATAAATACAAAGGCTTAGAGCCAAGGGCCATTTAACCAAAATGTGTCCAAAACTGAAACTTACACCCGAGCAAGCAAGTCTATAGTCTCTCCTTTTCAAAAATCTAAATCTTACATTTTTTTTTGTAATCCAAACGCTTCAGAATCCAAGATGGCGTCCTATATGGCCCCCGATTGTAATCAAATTCAAGCTTGCAGCAAATGCCGTCTGTATAAAATAATCCCCATTTTCAGGTACGTAAATCTTCCGAGGTTATTATTGCTGATTCAAAAGGAGGTAAAATAATGTAAGAATTCAAGCAACAAAAACAACAAAAAAAGCAAACAACAAGTCGCCTTCCTTTCATAAATCTACGTAACTCTGTTAAGATATCGTAGCTAATTTGGTATTGCGGGAAAATTGATAATTCTAAATCTCTGTATATTTTTTGTTTCAAATTTATTGACAAATTCCGGACCCATAAAAATTCAACAAGAAAATGCATACAATACATACAATGTAGGCGATCACACGTTTGTGGATATATATGTGCATTTTAAACACACCTGGATTCAGTGCAATTACAAGAAACAAATTTCTTAGAAGCATTGACAAAAAATAATTTAACAAAGAATTAAACTTAACATCACGGGCGACTTTTTAATGCATATAAACATTTTATCTTTCTTTAACCTGAAATGAAATACTGGCACAAGAAAAAAAACTATGATATGTATATATATAAACGATAAAAAAATGAGTTTTGATCAATGCTGATGCCATGTTGTAACACATTTAATTGATTTTTGATAGCTAAAATATTTAAGTACGGATCGTTAATAAGTTATATTTTTTGATTTACAGTCGGATAATTGCAACAAAATATATTTTATAAGTAATATTGATTAATAAAAAAAAACAACGCTATAAAACCTGCACACAGTGCAGTGTTATTACATATTCGCTTCTGTAAAAGAATGGTAAAAACATGTTATTTTTCACATATCAATGTTTTTATCGGAACTAAAACATCAAAAAATATCAGAAGCGATCTTATTATAGATAAAACAAATTGTTTCTATTTTTAGAACAATTATTGTAAAGATGTTACTATTTTTAGAACAATTATTCAACACTCATTTTCATTGGTCAATGTGTGTGCAACCTACTGTAACGAAACAAAGGCTATATTTAGTATACTTTTTGGACATACACATGTGCTTACAATATGATATATTTATAATAATTTCTGTCGTTGATTTTCTCAAATTTTGCTATTTGTGGCTCCCTCTTTCTTTTGTTTTCATATGCTGACATATAAATAAATAGCATGTCACTTTTTTACAATCCATACCGTGACCTCTAAGAAGTCACCTCAATACCGCAGTGTAGTCTGAAAAGGAATAAAAGCATTACTGTTACAACAACTTGAAAATCAACAACAACAACAACAGATTAACAGCATCCCGTATAGAAAGTATCATTAGTTCTTCTAGATGATTTCTATTTAACGAAACATCAATATTTGATACGAAAATTTGAATAACGTGTATAATGAACAAAATGATCAATTAATATTTGAGCCGCGTCACGACAAAACCAACATAATGGGTTTGCCACCGGCATGGATCCAGACCAGCCTGCGCATCCGCGCAGCCTAATCAGGATGCATGCTCTTTGCTATCAGTTTCTCTTCTTGTAATTGAGTTGGTAGGCGAACAGCATGGATCCTGATCAGACTTCGCGGATGCGCAGGCTGGTCTGGATTCATGCTGGTCGCAAACGCACTATGTTGGTTTTGTCATGACACGGCTCATTTAATTTATCTAAAAAGAAACAACATTATAAAAGAATGAAAAAAAAATTGTTGAACGTATTAAATATTGCAATTTTGATATTCAACATAGAATTTACACGTCTTGGTCATTTCCATTAAACAAAAGTCTGTTAACGATTTGTCGATTAATTGTAACGAGGCAATAAATCAGTTTCATAACCATCATATTAAAATCGAAAATGAGTGTGTAGACAAATATTATGTACTACAAATTGTAACTATTAACGTTATACTAATGTACGTATATAGGCCTTCGGCAAAATGCCTCTTGAGGTACATTTATTGTACCTTACTAACACTTACATTGTTGACAATATAAGGGCTATTAGTACAGCTGTCAAAAAAATAGATGCACCTGTTAAATAATGGGTATGTCAAGAGAAAAAGAATTGTCAAATATTTAATTAGTCAACGTTAATTAAGATCAGACAGTATGGTAACCGTAAAGAATAGACAGTATGTTAACCGTTTACTGTCATCAAAAATCAAAATATTCCGCATATGTTTTTATTATTGCTATATTTAGATTGTTTGTATGGTAATTTCAATGCATTCGAGACAGAAATGAGTCGGCGCAATGCAGCAAATGGCTGTTTATGCAATACTCTTAACGTATAAATCAATTAAACTGTTAATGACCTGTCCTGTTTTTGTGTGAAATGTAATCTATGTGGTCATTTGTGTACATTTCTGAACACTCGATTGACACATATACTAGTAAAATGGTGAGGTGTCATCATAAATAATCATATTTTCCAATGACCGTGTTGTATTGGCTTAAACCAGCCATTCGCAGCAGAACAGCGAGTCACTTAATCCATGTTTTGATTATTTTTTGTCCGAGGTAATTACTGATTGTTTAGAGATATTTCCCTTTTGACTAATGACCTAACCGATGTTTTAGCTTTATGATGGAACCCTTAAATGAAGCAAGTGTTTAAATTAAATCATTCAAAAATAACTTTAATTCTATATTCTTTTTTTTCAAAAACAACTATAACTACTATACATATTAACTTAGGCATTGTTTAAGTCTTATTTATCAACTCCCACTGTCCCAAATCGAGGTATATATCTAAGGCCCTTATTCTCAGATATAATCAAACTTGAGGATAATAACACTATCCACGAACAAAAATGTAACGACAATCAACTTTAAACTAATGCGCTTTTCTTTTCGATCTAAAAATCGATTAGGTGAATAATATTTACTGAATATACTGTATATTTACAAAGAACCACAGACTCGCAAGATTGGCTTTCGTTGTAAATGTTGACTGTATTTTATATGTTATTTATTCAACATAATAAAGCTTCTGACAGTAATGGACGAGATAGGTAAATTGTTGACTTGCATTATTTATACGCCTTAACTAACATCAACATTGCATATTAATCACTTTTTTGCATTGTATAGTTTTTTTCGTCAGATAAAATACGATTTCCGGATGCTTTCAAAATTTACTACTGTGACTGAGGTATTTGCTTCTATTTACGTCGACGTAAAGAAACCGAAAAACGACAGTATTTCCTAAATGTGTGTGTATCGTGACGGTGGTGACATGTGATGGACGTATTTTTGACAGAATCGTATAAAATATAACATTTATATTAAGAGAAAAACAATAAATACACTCAGACTAAACGTCAACAAATGACGCGCTATGAATAAATTTTACAGCAAGCGTAACGCTTCGTTGGTACAGGTCAACCCTAAGACGTTTTTCACGTACGTTATAATAGTTTGCAGTTTTTCTTTTTTTTTGCGCTAAAAGTACTTGTTTAACGTTAACGTCAAACTATCTTAAAACAAACGTGAAGCTTCGATGATACAGGTCAACTCTAAAATATTTAACGTTGGGTATACTAACTCGCGGTTATATCTATTTTTTTTGCGCTTATGACCTTGTCAAAATATCATTCTTGGTACCATTCACTCGGACAAAAAAATTGCATTAATATTGTCTTTAAATATTTTATATTATCTATTATATATTTTCTATTATATTTTAATATTTATTATAAGTAATTATTATATATTGATATTATCAATAATTATTTTATAGTAGCAATCAATAGTTATTCCATCGCTTCAATATTGTATTTATTATTAGCCTATACCTTAAACAATAAGGCATTTTGCCCTATTACCTGTCAAAGTAGTAAATCAATACATGCATACTTAATTATTATCAATGCAATGTCTTGTATTGAACTGTCCGGTCCTGAGTGCACATCAGATAATGTCGTTTATTTCCCATGTGATAGCATTCTAGATGGGTTTTTTATATTAGAAGTTTAATATTTGATTAGAAAATTTGAATAACGTGTATAACGAACAAATTGATAAATTGTTATTAAACTTGTTTAAAAAAATCATATCTCATGAACAGATTAAATCTAACATAGCCTGCTATTTACCATGTCATATGACGTTAAATAGTAAAAACTCGGCTTTGGTCGTGAACACTCGGCTTTAGTCGTGAAAACTCGGCTTTGGTCGCGACTTTCCGTCTCCAATGAAAGAGACTTAGACGTCCGTATGACCAGAAAGAGATAAATTCATACAACGTCAGTTGCCAAAATTTTGCTTCTTGAATTATAAAAAAAGATACGATATTTGTCGGATTCTTACGAGCTTATAGGATCTACATATATTAATGAAATACCTTTAAAACGCACCTAGTTTTTGTCGTTTACTTAAGGAAAGGCAAACAGCACATTCCACCTTCTCTACGACAGCCGAAGTCGAATTCAGATTTTCTACAATGTTGGTTAAGGAATGGGTATAAGCCTTCTCCACGTCGTCTTCTTGGGCGTTCATGTGGTTCTGGGACACCAGCTTGACGCTTCTTTCTTGTAAACATCATCATGCCTAGCATACCTCCAAATGGGTCATTAGGATTGTTTCCAAATAATCCTGCAAAGTTGTTTTGTTGTGCTGCTGGTGGCTGCGCGGATGGGCCTCCTGCAGGATCATATGCTGCTGGTGAGTAAGCTGGCTGGGCAGGTGTATAGGCTGGAGCTCCACCGGCAGGTGGTGGGGCAACACCGCCACTCGGCTGACTGGAACCTGGAAGACGAGTGTGAGTAGAAGCAACCGCTCTCGGATCTGGTCTAGCGCCAGTGCGCGTTCTTGTTCCACGTGCTGCACCTGGACGGCGTCTGTTGTTATTTCTGCGTCTTGGCGGGGGTGGGGGAATAGTGTTTATACAGTAGCCGCCATCTCTGAAGCAGTTCTGTTCAATTTCTGAAATACAGTTATTTAACGGGTTTATGCGATGCTAAATAATAATAATGCTACAATTATCATTTTATATACAGCTCGAATAAAGTATACATATATATATAAAGAAATAAGTAAATTTCCCATTTGGAACTGCAAAAAGAACGCGTGAGATTGATTGTGAAAAATACAAAACGGAACAACGCAAAAAAAATTCTGTTCCAAATTCAGTGCTATTAATAATTTACTATGCATAATATATGCGTAAGACAAGAATGACCCTTTTGCCTTCTAAATTATCTTTAAAGGTAAAATCAAAAGAATGTTAATCACAAAAATGCGTTTATTTTCATTCGTCGAAAGCATTTTATTTTTATTTTGTGGCTGTTTTATATATTACTTTTCTATTACGATTTTCATATTCACAATCTAATCGATTATATTTTAAGATGGGTAAGTTTTGGTCATTAAGTATTTTGTATGGAATGCACACAACTTCAAGTTTATTTTCAGCTACATTTATGACAAATTATTTTACATTTTATGTTGCCTTTTCCGCGTAATTTAACATTCTGTATAACTTATGTACATGTATATATATCCAATATTCAAACGTTAAAAATATCAGTTTGCTTTTTTTCTTCTGGGAAAAAACTGTTTGGCACGTTTCGGTGCATTACGATAAAAGTTTACAAGTATAACAATAAAATGTATATGAAGTATATTTTGCTTTATGTTTCGTCTAATTAATTTGCGCAATATTAAAAATACATTCAAAGCTTTTGAATCATTAAAGACTTATTTAGAAAACAGAATAAGTATTCTTCGCCCGATAATTCTAGAAATGTTTGATACCTATTGCACATCATCAATTATTAAGTATATATATACTTTTCAAAACCTGTACATATCAAGCATACATTATCCCTATTTATATTTTTAGAAAAACTGTAGAAGTATTACCTCTCATATTTTGAATAAAAGAAAACGAGTTTTGAATTCCAACAGCACAGACACACAGAAGGAATGTCCATTCTATGGCTTTAAAACCCATTTTTTATATTCCTTATCCGAAATTGTACAAAAATGCTATCCGGACAGATCTTTTTTATACGTCTGTCCACCGTAACTGACAATAGATAATTGTGACTCTACGACACAACTGGTCAGACTTTATGTAAAATCCAAGGCTGTCAATCCTCCCTTTGGTCCAGTTAACATAACATATACATACATATATGAATAATATACAATCACTCTGACCTCATCTACAGATATAAAACGATATTTTGGTAACTGATCACATATCGGGCCACGACAATGTTTTTTAATATGACACCAGTACTAGTTTGTTTCAGGTAGCGGTTATAAAAATAGTGGGGACTGATATAAGTTACAAGAACTTGTTTTGCATCCGAGCTTAATTATGTTTAATCCAACTGATATATGTACATATCACGCGAAGTCGTTGTCCATTTTGTCACCGGTATAAAGCAAGGCGGGTCCGCACATCCGTGCAATCTGAATAGGCTCTTTGCTGATGGCTTACTACAATAAACTTTAAATTTTCCGTCTTGCTACCCCCAAAGCGACGGAAAGGTCCAAAAATGGAAACTGGATTAGTCAATTTTTAAAGAACTTTAGCAAATCAAATGTTGAGAATTTTGCTTAATAGAGTTGTTGATACTGTATTGAAACACGCGTGTATAATGTCACTATAATATTGCTCACTAAGTACCATCTCCCGGTCAAATTATAGCGGTCAGTCTTTGTTGTAAAACATCTTAATGCTTTGTAAATCTTTATGGGCTATTCATTCTTCTAGAATGTCGTTAAATACATACTTTATTTCATAATTTTGTAGCAGTCTGAGACATTTGTTTATAGGTTGTTGCATTTTGCAAGCAGATTAACTATTTCTGAAGTCGCAAATTTTCGGTCGTTTTCGTCAGTTGTCAGATACGAACTTCTGCTTCTGAATAATCGGCGACTGAAAAATGTTTGTCGTCATTAATTTATCGCTTTTCTTTACTTGTCTTATTCATTTGACTGAGCTTAGTGCCTATTTTGCCGCTTTTTTTTATAATTCTTTATCATTTGACTGAACTACGTCATTAAATTTATCGATAGTCTTTTCTGGTCCTATTCATGTGACTGAGCTACGTCATTGATTTGTTGCTTTTCTTGATAACTCTTTATCATTGGACTGAACTACGACAATAATTTATTGCTTTACTTTACTGGTTATATTCGTTTGGCTGAGCTACGTTATTGAGTTGTCGGTTTGCTTTGAAATTCTTTATTTGACAGTGGCACCTTATCTCTAGATTGTCATCATTTCTCTACACTATTTTGTTAATTTGGTCCTGGCTAGAGACCTAGCTTTGATACGACTTATATCATATTTCTTTATTATAGCTCTTTTATTTGATAGACGCATGCTATCTATAGACTTATAAAGTATGCACTTTATTTTGCTACATTTAAAACTATTATTTAACAATAACGAAAAAGAAAACAGATCAGTTTTTGTAGAATAAAATCCAGGTACTCGTTTTATATTTAGTCGTATAGATCTGGTCATTTAACTGTTAAAACCAAAGACTGTAATGTCAAATTGACTTTTAAGATAAAGCTAATAATTCAAACAAAAACTAAAAACCGTTATTTTTTTAAGACATGCTGCTGTTTAAAACTGAACAAATAAGAGTACTTGTTATAAACATAAAATGAAAAGATCACCCTTAACGTCATTTTACAAACGACGTCAAAAGACGTTAACGTTGTCATTGACGTGAGATATTAAAAAGTGAATTTCCTTTTAAATGTTAAAGATAAATACAAAAAGGGAACAATAAGCAAAATTGAAAAGATTATTTATGTATTTCAAAAGCTATAGAATTGAATTTCTTTAAGAATACAATAGTTTAAGTTAAAAAAGTAAGTGACGTTAAGCGTTAATTTCTCATGCCGGTGATCCATTCTTATATAAACAGGTATGGTGTTTAATATTTCATTTTATATTATTACTTCAGGACCAAATGGTTAGAACGGTGTATTACTGGCGATAAGCTGTTGAGTTCGTAGCCCGAAATCCGTGTACATTTTTGTCCAGTCATTACCTTAACATTTATTTATGATTAAAGTTCTTAAATTATTTGAAATTAATCGCATTTTGACTAATTCTATGATTAAGAAGGCATACATCTTTCACAATTTTGTAGTCATTTATTACAAGACACGCGCTTTTATGATTCGCCTTTCTTTTGAAATCATTTAAATAATGCATACATGTATTTCTACATACATTGAATTGCTTGTTTTAAGATGTTTTTACCTCGCATTGATTGTACCCATGCCATAGAACTTTTTATCCCAAAAGCACAAATACACAGAAGTGCTGTCCATTCCGCAAGTTTAAGTTCCATTTTGCCAACTCCAAAATAGATGTTTATCTCTATCCGGCTAGGCTTAAAATGAATTTTAGGTTTTTTTTATGAAAGTAAATAATGGTTCCGTGACAAATTATGACGTGAGGTTGCGCGCAAAGTGTCACGTGAGATTTTTTTCTATCTTATGATGTGAGTGAAAATATTTAAATTAATTTAAATTTTGCATTTATATAACTCTGTGCGAACACATAAATGTTATATGTTATACAATTTTTCAAAATATGGCAACGAAGCCAATATTAAATGTCAGTTCTTGAAATATTTATACTACAGATAAAAATATGATTTTCAAATATGATATCGTCATGTCTTAATGTTCGAATGATAATCATAAATAAATGAGTGTGATTTATTAAAATAACGGTCAGTTTTTGTGAAAAAAATATCATGTATTTTGAAGATTTCCGATCTTTGATATCTTGGTTTAAAACACAGATATTCAGTCCCTATATTTTATAAAAAAAGAAACCCATATAAATTTTACTTTTTTACCAGATAAATTCTTTGAAAATTGTTCAACTTGATTAGAAATGTAGGCAAATGTTATAATTTTGTTTTATGGCTGATCTCCGAAGCGAGTACGGCAAATTGACATAAAGGACTGTACGATTTTTAAAAGAAAACATATTAAATGAGATTTGATAATTTCTATAACCGGGGAAGAAATTCGATGTTTTGCGTGTACGAGTTTTTTAAATTTTTTTGTTCGAAATATTATACGAGCTGTGCAATGTGCGAAACGATACACACAGTTACTGGCGGTGAGATGGTACATATCTCATGGAAGATTACAACAAGGTATTTGTTATTTATATTGTCATATGTTTCTTAAGTAACATTCCAGTGGTCACTTTAAATAAACTCCATATGACACTATTCTATAACGATATACCGTATTCTATAACGATTATAAATTTTAAATGTAGTATAGTTTTTTCTTATTTGTGTTAATATCATACCTCTCATAGCTGTAAGGAAAGACATAGAACTCTGTATTCCAAAGGCAACTAAACAGAACAGCCCCATCCATCTCGGCCAAATTAATTCCATATCTAACCTCAGTTTAAAACCTATACGTCTGTACTCACTAAGAAGGTCCGAAGCTATGGCTTGAGTTTCCTTTAGACATGGTCGTCTTATAAAATTAATATACATGTCGTTTTTGTGTTCGTCGGATGGTGTAACCCTAATGTTATACTGTCAGTTTTTATTACAGCAGTAAGTGGACAGTTTAATCATGTATACTAGCTGACACGGCCAAGAAAAGATATATACATGATATTAATACACTATACATGTCGTACGTACAGCAATTAATATAATTATATATGTACCTATATATACATACTGCATGCTTCATGTATAATTGATGATTGCAGTGCTTCCTGGGTGGTGCAGTACTGCACGTATTAATCACGTTAACTAAAAAGGTATCAGTTGTTTTGAAAGGCCTACTCTTTTGCTTGAAAAGGCGGGAGAACCCTTAAAAATATAAACAACGGCTATATAATCACCGTACTTAGAATTGGACATTTTACCCAAATTGAGTCTGTCCGCTAAACTCAATATTTCGGATGAGTCGAAATATAGTCGTAACAATTGAACTGGGACGTTCAGTCTAATGGTCATTTTTATCTCTTCTCTCAACACTGAATCAGAAATCGCGTGGAATAAGAAGTCGGTTTCTTGCGGGAAATTAGTTTTTTTGTTTTGTTTTTTTTCTTCATTTTACGCCTTTTATTTTCATTTTCATTTTACGCTAAGCTAATAGAAATAATAATTATGTAATTGTTATCCAAGCCGTGCCAAGAGTTTTATTTTTTTGATTACTTAGAAATACCATATGCAATTTGACCAGTTAATGGGTACCTTTTGTAAAGAAACTTGTTGTTTTTCAGCTACAGGTTGGTTTTATTTTTGAAAATTAGCATTTCTCCTAATATATTTGACTAAGGTCATTAAATGAATGGCATTCCCATGATAAAAATGAAATTTATCCTCCACCGTGATGCACCTTTGATTTTTAAAACATACCACATCTAACATGCGACTTCCTTCTTACATTTAACATATTTTTAATGAGTTTCGATCGCGACTCTGTTAAAAATCGTGTTAAAAATCGTTCTCTTTCGTCCAATTACATTATTTTGAAACTGGACAATTTGCAAATTATATTTACTTATATTCTTATAGATATTCTAACATTATAGAATAAAAACATCTATGTAAAACCCATTGTAATGCTTAAGGAGTGGGAACATTTTGGAGAAAAAACGTTATCCAGTATTCAGGATTAAACCTGGCTGTAAAACTTTCAATGATTTTAAATTTATATCAAATACTAATGTCAGTATTTGGTGCGCTACATCATGCTTTTGATATTTTTACGATTTCTTAGAATAAAAACATATTTTATTTTCGAGTCGATTGAGAGCATTTTGCAGGTGCGCGAAAACGTATTATCCTATACCATTGATTTTATACGCTGATATAAATAGCAAATGTCGGGCGGGAATACTGCAGGATGACAGAAATCACGAGGACAGAAATATCAACATCTTCATCAATACAGGCTAATTATCAAGAACTGTTTTAAGATAATTATGTGCTGACGAGATATCAGTATCACCATGGAAATAAGATTATCGTAAGAAAACACTTGTCTTTACCTACATGTACATGTACTGCAATCAGGACATGCGACGACCTTGTAACAACTTGGGAAAACATCGGCGTCTATGTATGTATGTACGTACGTACATATGAAATAGATATTGTTTAAACTAAAGCATCATATACGAGACAATTTGTTTCTGAATTTTCAAGAATGTTTTCATACTTGAGACATTATTATTCAATGCTGGATCTATTTTTAGATGTTAAGATTATTACTTTCATAACATGCTATTTACACGGTCGAAAACCGCTAAATTTGTTTTTTGCATATTTCACTCTGAATAAGTTTCTGTCCTGCCATTTGTTGAAAACAATATATTTAAAATAAATCAGAAAAATATGAGCCTTCAACTATGTTTATTGCTAAATAATCATTGCAAAATGAAAACAGTACCATAGTGAATGGTCTTCAAATGTTCAGATGTTTATAAGGTAAAGTTTTAATATAGTCTCTTTGTCCATGTCATAATGAGTTAGATGCTTGAAACGATATTGGCTGAAAAATGTACAAATATAAATTGGCTTAGATTAAAAGTGATGAAAGATTTGCTAAGCCCTGGGTATAATTGTGTCTCCGTTACAATTGCACGTCCAGAGATTTAACACGGGCTTTGTGAGAGGAACCAATAAGGCTCAACACCAGTCCTCTTACGGTTGATTTTAGTAGAAAAATTTTGAGATCGAAAGAGGAAAAAGTTTATTTGTCCACTAACATCAACATATTCAGACTTTACATCAAAATTTTCACAGGTTTTACATCAACATTTTCAGATTTTACATCAACATTTTCAGATTTTACACTAAAATTTTCAGATTTGTATCAACATTTTCAGATTTTACATTAACATTTTCAGATTTGACATCGCCATCCTTTAATCGTCGGCTTTTCTGAATTTCAAATAAAATGTGGCTGATGAAGGTAATTTTATTCATAGTCGTTAATAATGGCCTCGGAGTCTGACAACCTGTAATACCGTAGTGGGTCATCCATTTATCAACATGTAAATAACCTGACACTCGGGACGTTTGTGTAGATTAATAAGTACGTGTATAAGTTAAAACAATTTCAGAAAATAACAATAGAAATTCTCTTCAAAAGAAAGTTTCGTTTAGTTGTATATGTTATTTTTACCATATGGCTGTAAGGTGTTAGTGTGTGAGGGGGGATGTTGAAGGTTAAACATCGTGTTTGTATGCTTTAGAAAATTTGACCTTTGTTTAGATGAAACATTAGTTGTCTTTGTCTTTAAAAATCAATCTTTATTTTTTCCTTGCATATTTCATTACCGTGATTTTCATTAAATTTTAGTTTTTTTTTATAAAGAATCTAAAGTGTAGTTAGTTAAAAGGATTTCTTCTATTTGTAGACCGTTTGATTAAAAAAACCGTTTAATTATATGATGTTTATAAGGCATAGTCATGCGGCTTCCGTAACTTTAAATAAAAAAATACATGTTTCCAAAAAGTTTTTTTTAATGTTCGACATGAAAATGAACACATTTTAATTTTAAACATGGTATTTTAACTCAATTATATTAGTTTAGTTTATACACATTTAGTTTAGTTCGATAATGTTGGCAGCTATAAGCCTATTGAAACACTATCGAATCCGTTTCTGGAACCAACCAGTACTAACCAATGAATGTAAAAATTCTTACTCAAGGAAACAACGGCTTGACCCACGCGGTCAGCAATCCTAAGAACACTCGCCACTCATTTATGTTCGTACGCGTATACTCAAACAAACCGTCTCGTGTCCATGAAGACATTGAATACTTTATGTCCAAAATATACTGTACTGTGTAATGTATCCATTTCAAAGGCTAATGAAGATTTCGTTACCAAAGGCGCAAAACAACATTATGATAAAATGAGTTCTTCACGATCATTACAACAAGAAGAACAGCCACAAAAGACAAGCTGTACAAATGATTATTACTTATTCCGACATGAAAAAGTGGACAAACATTTTCAGGAAGACAGTAAGACAATCTTTATTTATAGTCAGTTATAGTTAACAGTACAAGACATAATCATAATGGAAAAGTATTACTAAAGAATTTGGACATGAGAATGACTTATTCCCTGCGGTCTGGAGACCGCAGGGTATTGGTCAAGTTTAACTTTTGAGGCATGGAGGAGCACGTGACCTGTTTTCGGTACATGGAGGAGCATGTGATCTGTTAACCGTACATGATTGGTTAATTGACCTTTTCGAAAACCTAGCTAAATAACGTTTGCCGGTACGTTACGGATTTGCCTGTAGGGAATTAGTCCGAATTACACCTAATTAAGAACAAAAAACTATTGCGTGATATTTCTAATATTCTATAATTATTTTACCGTTTAAGGTGGAAAAACTTGAATGATGTGTTTGAAAATAATCAATGTTTCTTTAATATCTATCTCAAATTTTACAAACAATAAATTGTTTACACTGAAAATCTACAAAATTAAAATATTCGTAGTGGCATCTGCCATAATAAATAGATATTTTCTGCCTAAACTTGTGTGTTTACTTTATTTATTTTTAGCTCGGAATAATTCATAAAATGGTAGGCCTATTTAATCATTTTCTTAAAAAGAAATAATTGTTTTATGTTCGACCTTCTCCGGTCTTCAACGGTCACCAGTTTCCAAAGACCTTCTTCTATATTGATCGTTTATTCAATTGTCAACTTTATTCCTGATACAAACGTTTATTTATCCCCCCACCCCCAAATAATGTTGAAAATAGTTAAATGAAATATCTTTTTATCATTAAAATGTTCACCGCAGGAAACCATTTTACTTCTTACTCTACTTTATGTGGGTTATACAAACGTGCATGCACAGGCGCTAGTCACATAATCAAATATTTTACATAATCGGTCTATATATGTATATAAAGATATAAGGCCCCCAACGAAACAAAAACATCATGCAGAACAAACAAGAACACTACTGAAAGAAACGACCAGATCACGGTTATCTCTTTCTGGTCGCCATCTGAAAGGATCAATCCAAGCGTTAAAGCTTTTTATTTCATTAAAATTCTTCAAATAGCAAAGAAATGAGTAAAAGTTTCAGAAAATGCCAATATTTTCAATCCATGTCGTTTTCGACGTCCAATCTATTCATGTATACAAACACGATTTCTAGTCGATTTCTACGAAATAAATAGAAAACATCTAAAATTTCCTCATAAAATTCATAAACAAACTCTTTTTCTATCTATCTGCGAAGTCTAAATTGAACTAGAGCCCTCTTTGTACTCAAATATTTAAAAAATATTGGTTGTAGAAGCGGAGGTCAAGTAAAGTGCGCCATTTGTAATTTGAAGTGACAGATAAATGAAGCAAAGAAATAGTATTATACGATTGGTCAATAGTATTCCGGTAATTATCTTAACCAATCAAATCCTTATATAATATTCAGAGCGGAACAGTATATACATGCGCTATACATGGCGATAAAGTACTGTCACAAGCGAGATCCTTGTGTATTTTTTAATGAAATACATACGAAGAGGGCATTTGATCAGTGAAGACTTTGCAGATCGATAGGAAAAGAGTTTGTTTATGGAACGTACGTGGAAATTCTAGCCGTTTTTTGTTTTTTCCGTAAAAATCGATCAGAAATCGTGTTTGTATACATGAATGGACTGGACGTCGAAAACGACATGAATTGAAAATATTGGCATTTTGCGAAACTTTTCCCAATTTCTTTGCTATTTGAGGGATTTTAATGAAATAAAAAGCGTTGGCACTTGGATTGATCCTTTCAGATGGCGACCAGAAAGAGATAACCGTGATCTGGTCGTTTCTTTCAGTAGTGTTCTTGTTTGTTCTGCATGATGTTTTTGTTTCGTTGGGGGCCTTATATCTTTATATACATATATAGACCGATTATGTAAAATATTTGATTATGTGACTAGCGCCTGTGCGTGCATGTAAACGATTTATTACACCGCTTTCCGTTAGAACTGTCATTAATGGGGAATTTTGTATCGGTAGATCATCAATGAATAGTTTGTACACTGGAATGTTTATGAATATGTGCACGTATGAATAAAATTTATAAACACAACACACAAAAAAGTATGTTATTTTCTTTGTTTTATATCTTACAGACATTTGAACTTCAATCCAGGGTTCAAAATAATAATGGAAGCTGGCATTGTCCCCATTTTCATAAATTAGAGATATTTTCACCACATAAAATAAAAGTGTTTTGGACCGATATTCTAAATTGTGAATCCGTATTGTATTTTTTGATAAAATCGATGATATGTCTATATCGCAATATTCAAAGACAGCCCTACTTTCTGGGTTATAAATAAGGGCATGGACTAAATCTATGTTGTTAAAAATAAGGGCATGGAAATGATTTATTACACTGCTTTCTGGGTTATACACACGGGTAGAGAAATGATTTATTACACTGTGTTCGGGGCTATTCATACCGGTATGAAAATGATTTATTACACTGTTTTCTGGGTTAAGCATACGAGCAGGGAAATGATTTATTACACTGTGTTCGGGGTTATACATACAGGTATGAAAAGGATTTATTACACTCTTTTTCTGGGTTATACATACGAGCAGGGAAATGATTTAGTACACTGTGTTCGGGGTTATACATACGGGCATGGACATGATCTATTACACTGTTTTCTAGATTATACATACGGGTAGAGAAATAATTTATTTCACCGTGTTCATGGTTATACATACAGGTATGAAAATGATTTATTACACTGTCTTCGGGGTTATACATTCCGGTATGAAAATGATTTATTACACTGTTTTTCTGGGTTATACATACGGGTATGAAAATGATTTATTACACTGTGTTCGGGGTTATACATACGGTTATGAAAATGATTTATTACACTGTGTTTGGGGTTATACATACCGGTATGAAAATGATTAATTACACTGTTTTCTGGGTTATACATACCAGTATGAAAATGATTTATTACACTGTTTCCTGGGTTATACATACCAGTATGAAAATGATTGATTACACTTTGTTCGGGGTAAGAAAATGATTTATAACACTGTGTTCGGGGTTATACATACCGATACGAAAATGATTTATTACACTGTTTTCTGGGTTATACATATCGGTATGAAAATGATTTATTACACTGTGTTCGGGGTTATACATACCGGTATGAAAATGATTTTTTACACTGTTTTCTAGGTTATACATACGGGTATGGGAAAGATTTATAACACTGTTTTCTGGGTTATACATACTGGTATGGACATGATCTATAACAATGTGTTCGTGGTTATACATACGGGTATGAAATTGATTTATAACACTGTTTTCAGGGTTATACATACCGGTATGAAAATGATTTTTTACACTGTTTTCTAGGTTATACATACGGGTATGGGAAAGATTTATAACACTGTTTTCTTGGTTATACATACTGGTATGGACATGATCTATTACAATGTGTTCGTGGTTATACATACCGGTATGGAAATGATTTATTACACTGTTTTCTCGTTTGCTTGAAGTTTGTGTGTGTGTGTGTGTATGTGTGTGCGCCTGTGTGTGTGTGTTTTTTTTTTATGTATAACCTGTCAAGAATCTTTATAACTTATAAAATAATTTCGATATACATGAACATGTATACGGTTGCAAAAGGTTATGTCGTTTTCTGTACATGTAACCAATTATTGGAACAAAATTGAATCGCAAATTTATGGCACTATGTCGAAAATGTGAAAACTCCGAAGTATTTATTCACAAAATAAACAATTTATTTGTCTCACTTTATCTTAATGTCTGATAAAACACACTGACACAAACAAAACAGAATAAAATGTATAAAACACATAATAAATTACAAACAAGACAATTGGTTTATTATATTCTATACCTCAAAGTTAACTATATATATCTGACTGTTCTACATCAAATACAGGTAAGGTATGTGTAACAAGTGCATTTTTTTTTATTAAATTTATAACACATGAGTACGGTGTTTCATTAGGGCCATCACCTATGAATGAAAAAATATGAAATTCGAAAAGTCGAAAACACGAAGGAACGAAGAAGAAAACACGAAATCGCGAACGGATGATGACGAAAAAGCCAAGACACGATGACGAAAACGCGAAATCTCAATAAATTGAAGTCGATGATTATCGCAATTTTATGACCGTGTCTTAGCGTTTTTGTCATCGTCTCCTCTCGCATTCGTCGTCAACTAATGGTATGTTTATCCTTTCGTTTTATTCAAGGTTTTGTTCTTTCGCGTTGTCGTCATCGAACTTTTTCGCGTTTTCGTGTTTTCGCGTTTTCGTTTGCAGGGCGCCGACACGAAGTAACGACGAAACGATAAAATCAGGGCGCCAAAACGAGAATTTATATTTTTGTCGTCATTTCATTGTTTCGTGTTGTCGCCAAGACGAAGTAACGACATGGCAGAAATCAGCCACCATAGATATGTCATTTAGTCCAAATATTTCGGAAACTCGAAATAAGCTTGAAATAAATTAACAACTGTAGCCGCCACGCTGCTATTATAAATGTTACCCCTAACTTACTTGCTACAAGTCATTTACACAGAAATTGATTTCTTTTATAGGAAGTTGATATTTACTATATTTTATTTATTATTTATCGTTTTTGCCCATCAGAATTAATTTAGAGTTTAATTAATATGACACCAAGCCTTATCACGAAAATGGCTGACTAACAAATTGATATTCGAAACATCTGCTATATTTAGAAATACATTTAAATTGTCTTGTTTTTATAGTGATTAGCTTTGAATAATTTAGTGTGGTAGAATTCATAAAACATGAAACAAATACATTTACGCTGCTACATTACAATTAAAATGACACTTGGTAAGATCATATGATTGCACAGTGATGCATCTACGGCCCTCTTGAACTTCATCGAAAATAAGTCAGTACTGAGTATTTAAGCAGAACTCTGTTAACATCTTCAGAACGCTGAAACCAACTTTGTCGATTTTGAAAACAAAGTACGTTTGACCCCAAGGTGATATATTACACCGCTCAATTTAATAGAAATAGTTAGGCAGTATCTTTAGGCCGATTTTTATTTTATCATGAACATTTTCCAGTCAATCGCTATTATAAACTCAAACTTTTGAAATATATAGTCGACTCAACTTGATAACGAAAAAAAAAATATAAAAAAAAATAATGTCACTTTAAAGTTCTGTCGTGTAAATGAATGAAAAGTAAGTCTATTTACACGTTCAATTCGGATCACCTTTCCGATAAATCTTAATCAGCCCAGAGAGCAACACAATAAAATGAAAAAAGGAATGCGGTAATTTTGCCTTGTGACTCTGCATTTGATAACAAGGTACTTTAAGTTATAACCAAACTTTGGCGGAAATGATCGGAAGTTGCAAGTGTTAACAAAACAGGAAAACATAAAAGCCACATGTTACAAACAAACATTTTTTTTTGTATAAATACAAATACCACATTGACCACATATAAGTTAACATATAATACAAAACTAAAACTTAGCCAATGATATTTCCCTTTTTACATTCGAAGGAAAGAAGTTGACACATTTGATTAAAAAATGTATGGAAACTTGAAATTTATTTATGAGTTTGGTGTTTCCATTTACACTTCAATTCCATTGTAACGTTAACCATTCTGTCACTTTTGCACCATGTCTTTGAAATATCCGTAGAATAAACACTTTGATAGAAGTATTGTGCAATAAATCTTTATTTGACGTTAATGAGTTTAATAGTGTTTCTGTTTTCTTACTTAGTCTGTTTACATAACACTGTTAGTTATGCATGTACAAAGAGCCTCGCCATTTGCCTCCGCATATTTCACTTTGATTCCCCTTACATGGCGTGTTACATTCATGTTCCGGTTGTCGAGGGTAGTCTTTAAGCGTGTCACCACAGAAACACGCATAGCCGGCCTTTAAACAAGTAAATCAAATCTGATCAATTAACATAAATAGCAATTCATGAATAAATTATTTTTAAAAGGTATTAAGCAGTATCTTATGAAATATTCTAATACAATTTAGAAATCATGGTGAATTTATATTATTTCGATAATGTTATGGTCGTTCCTGAAAAGTAGTGTAATATAGAATTTAACACATATTAAAACTGTGTGTAAACAGAATAAGATGTTCCGAATCAAAATATTATGGTGCTATTTTATTAGGTTTTTTAACCTTTTCGCAATAATATTGTGCAATTACTATTCGCTCTTAAGGGAATATATAAAACATATTTCTTTCATACAGGAATATTTGAATTGTTATTTTTCAAAATTCAAACACAAATTTTGTGAATTACATGAATTACATGCATGTAAACTTGCAGGCAGCAGAAATATATCTTTATACACTTTCACCAATGATTTTGACGTGATTTTCTACAGCAATTTAATCAACAACAGATATGTGAAATTGAACCTATTGTTTGATTATTTGTACAGTTGTTGCTCTCTATGTATCGTATGAACTTTAGAGAATAAACTCATGGCTTGACCTCGCCAATACCAGATTTAATGTATGGTTAGGTTGCTGGTTGCCTAGTAAATTTGAGTTGGACTCACTCACTCACTCACTCACTCACTCACTCACTCACCAACTCACTCACTCACTCACTCACTCACTCACTCACTCACTCACCAACTCACTCACTAACTCACTCACTCACTTACTCTTCTCACTAACTCACTCACTCACTTACTCTTTCTTTCATTCATTCATTCATTCATTCATTCATTCATTCATTCATTCATTCATTCATTCATTCATTCATTTATTTATTTATTAATTAATTTATTCATTCATTCATTCATTCATTCATTCATTCATTCATTCATTCATTCATTCATTCATTATTCAATAACTCCCATACAAAACACTATTTAGATAACAGAAACTTAGTTATAGCTGGTCTTATTGACCTGTCAATTATGAAAACATTATATCACACCTTCGTTAAATATAACGGAAACAACCGTTCATATATATTCAAAAATTACCTCTGTTAATGAATATTTATGATCATATTCAATACACATCCTGACACACATGTCTGTTGTCAATAATGGCGGCCTAATATCGCGTTCATCTAGAATCCGGTCTTCTCGATCTTCAAAGCAACCCATGTATTCGTAATCTGTAATCAAAATATATCTATATTAATATATATTGATCCTTCATCATAACGTTGAGGACACTGAGAAAAAATGTATTAATTCAAGAGTTCAAAGAAATATGATAAAAGATAAAAGAACAAATACTTGGCATTGCCAACATACTGACGCACACGTTCGCACTAATTTCCCTTGTTCTCCATGTAATACATGTATATGATTAACTTATTTCTTTGTTTTTATTTCACACTTTATAAAATGTAACCTAAAATGAACTTCCAGCAATTGGGTCACGTGATCTTTGAATACAAATAATCATTGGATCCATTCTTTTTCAATTAAGCCTCGTTTTTATTTCCCGAGTCTTAAATCCGTAAACACCATCTTGCCTCGTTTTTATTTAATTCCAAAATATCCACATCAAATTCATCACATCCACATCATACTCGAAGTAAATGTATATTTAATATTAAATAAATAAACACACACGCACACACGCATGCACGAACGCACACACGCACGCACGTACGCAATAGTACGTGCCACCATTTGTTCAGTACGAAAATAGCATATGAACACGTGCAGCTTGACAGGCTCAAAACTATTTAATTCAAATTGTGTTGGAAGATAAAAACTTATAAACCTCAAGTCAAACCCGTCCCTGGAACTAATCAGTACTTAATAATGATTGTCAAGTTTTGCTCCGACCAGAATTAAAACGCAATTTTATTTCATGCCCAAAATGGTATTTTCAAAAATTTTACTTACGAAAAAAAAAATAACCACCCGATAATCCTTTTAAAGCGAGGTAAAACACAAAATTAAAATTTATATTTAGCAGCAAAGTCAATTCTCCATTAAATATAATGCCATTGTGCCATAAATGAAACTGAATTCGGTATGTTGAAGCTGATAAAGGAATACATGTACAAACATTTGTCTCTTAAATAAAATAAAAAATGTAAAATAGTTACTTGGAATGCAATTGGGATAGTGTGACCATGACCCATTATTCTGACAGATCGAGTGCGTCTTTCCTGACACTTCCTTGAAATATTTGTGACACGTGATTTCTACACGTGAACCAACTGCTTTCATATTGCCTTGAATAGCACCATCCTTAATATCTAGAGCAGCGCAAACTAAAAATAGCAAAAAATAAAGACATGCAAACGTTTTCATAGCAATATCAATAATTTAAATAGCATACACTTTTACAATAATCATTATGTACATGATAAATAATTACATGTATTTAGAATTTTGTTGAAACCATATATGACGTAAAGTACACGGACATATCATCAAGAATGAAATGTTTAAAAAAAATCTTTTAAATATCAAGATAAGCATGATTGTAGATCTTTTACCACAGCGTATTAAACCCTGATTGTTATTTAATTACTAAATTTTGAAGACAAAAATTGCAAATCTATGAACATGATTACCGAAGTTTTACATGAAAAGACTCAATCAAACACAGCTCGCAACATTTTTACATTTGTCATTTTGGGCGTTCTATAGGGATTCTTAATTTTGCAATCATAGTCTGCATGGTTGTTGATGAATTGATAGTAATTTCTTCAATTTTTAACCTCGGGTTCGAGTGAACTGAGTGCAATCAGCTACGTTATAATACTGGACAATACATCTACTTGGTTATATGTAAGACATTCCAATCTGTGACAACAGACGGTGTTGGTTCCTTTTCTTGCATATTAAATATAAATCATTTTTGGAAAGAAATTACGGGAACTTATATTTTCATGCCGCACCCTTTTCTTATATCAGCGTATGAATTTCCAACTTCATTCATAACCGTAACGGTTATGAATGAAGTTACGATTATGAATGAAGTTGGAAATTCATACGCTGCTATAAGAAAAAAGTGTTACATGAAAATGTAAGTTATATCATGAAAAAGAACCAGACACCGGCTGTCGTCACAGATGGGAATACCTGGCTCTCGGGTAACATTGTAGCGGAAAATCGAGCTAGATATTCCTGTCTGTACCTGCAGCCGGTGTAATATTCATATAAGACCCATTAAACCTCGAAGGTACAAATAATTTTATTGTACTAAAGCTGTCCTGTTAAGTTTTCACAGAGTTATTGGTCATAAAACTGATCATTTGCTTCTTTTTGCATTTTGGCAATTAGTACAGTTATAGTGGTATGTTGAATGGAAGTTAAAATGCCACTTTATTTACACCTTGCTTTCTATATCACAAATTAGCACATTCAGCGCTATTTTCAATTCTTCTTCGCATGATAACCATATTACATGCTTTAAATCTATTACTACAATACAATATTATGAAACGCATGCCTGCACTTTAAATGGACAATAGATAATAAAACTGAATATTCATGAGGCTTAATGAACCTTTAAAGATGATATTTTGATTTCCCTTCAACGAATCATAAAGAGGTTACACAATATGTAAAAAATATCGATGACAATAGTTTAATACTTATGGAAATATTAGCTGTATTTAAACTTACATTTTGAGTCACAAAGATTAGTTCCACAGTTTCCATCCCCACAAGTTTGACATACGTCAGTAGAGGACTTCAACTGCAAATGTATCTAATATTAGCTTTACGTTTCGTTCTTATTACAAATTAAATGTTTCTAATCTAGTAAAAATATTCTAGTTTAGTAAAAATAACAAATGATGAGAATTTACTTAATATAATGGAACTTCAATTCTCAGTTAAGGAAACTGTTCAAAATTAATGTCTGAGATGCAATAAGCCTAATTCACACGGAAACCGAATGGGATTATCATTTGCCAACAATGTAGAACCAGTCTAGTTCTTGCACTCTGACCAAGTACCACAGCCAGGAAAACGGCCAGGTACCACGGCCAAGTACCACAGTCAAGTACCACAGCCAGGTAATGTACCACGGCCAGGTACCAAGGCCAGATACCACGGTAATGTACCACGGCCAAGTGCCATAGCCAGGTACTATGTTAATGTACCACAGCCAAGTACCATAGCCAGGTACCACAGTAATGTACCACGGCCAAGTACCATAGCCAGGTACCACGGTAATGTACCACGGCCAAGTACCAAGGCCAGATACCACGAACAGGTACCATAGTCAGGTGCCACAATCAAGTACAACAACCAGATACCACAACCAGGAACCAGCCAAGTCCCACAACCAGGTACCACGGTCATGTACCACAACCAGGTACCACGGTCATGTACCTCGGACAGGTACCACGGCTAAGTACCAAAACTAGATAGCACGGTCATGTACCACAGCCAGGTTCCACAGCCAGGTTCCACGACCAGGTACCACGCCCAAGTACCACGGCCAGGTACCACGACCAGGTACTACAGCCAGGTATCAGACCAGGTACTACAGCCAGGTACCCACGGCCATGTACCACAACAAGGTACCAAAGCCAGATACCACAACCAGATACCACGGTCATGTACCACAACCAGGGACCACGGCCAGGTACCACGGGCAGGTACCACAACCAACCAGGTACAAAGGGCAGGTACCACGGGCAGGTACCACAACCAGATACCAAGGCCAGGTAACACGGCCAGGTACCACAGCTAAGTACCACAACCAGGATCCCACAACCAGATACCACAACCAGGTACCACGGCCCGGTACAACAACCAGGTACCACGGCCAGGTACCACACCGTTCTTTACTAACTCACTAGGTTTTTATTGCAATCTTCCCATAATTGGTATTTAATTAACAAAAAAAATTATGATTCTTAACTTCATTCACCTCTTCATTATGTATATCTGATCTTTTTATATATAAACAAGATTCACCGGAACGAGCCACGCGCGTTTCGTGCAGAATTGAGTGCAGTTCACATAGTTTATAAAGCCGTTTGTAGTTGACAGCTGAACATTTTGGAAGTATCGCACATTCCTCCACACATTGTTTGACAGAGATTCCGTTGATGATATATAAAGTAGTATCAGAAGATAAACATGTATGATGACTCGTTATCCTATAATGTACTAAAGCATTTTCTCCATATATTGTAAGTAAATAATCAGACACATAGAACAGAATTGTAAAAATATATGAAATTATATCCTTTTTTGCCATTTTCGGAATCACTCACAGCACCGAAGTCGAATGCTATTTGAAAGACTTGACTGATATGCTTTATTATTTTACTCTGCTGTTGTTAATAATTCATATATCTAAGCGTGTCGACATTGAGTTACAAACTGGCTTACCAAACATGTAAAGTCTATAGCCATGCATTTGGGAGAATGTCAATAAACATAATCAAATACAAATAAGCTATATTTTTTCAAGAATGTTAAATATACCCATATATTAAGATTCAATAGTTACAATATTTGTTTTGTGACGTAACTTTGTTAATAAACTCATATTTCATTTAACATCTTCTACAAATAGAATTGTAGTAAAAGAGATCAAACATGCATTGTATCAAACAAGACCGACTGGAATTGTTCCCGCTCTGAGAATAAAATTCCCGAGTGTCGTCCTTAATTGTTTTCGCAAAAGTGCGCAAAGTTTGTCTAAACAATGACAACTTACGCCAAATTAATTATTTATTGCTTCAGATATATACTCAGCACGTTTTTTGTTCAATAAAAAAAAAATCAGTAGACATCTAGTAAAGCAAGTCATTGTTGAAATTCAACAATCCCAAACATCAATAATATTACGTTCTTGATTTGAGCCGCGTCACGACAAAACAAACGTAATGCGTTTGCGACCAGCATGTATCCAGACCAGCCTGCGCATCCGCGCAGTTTGATCAGGATCAATGCTGTTCGCTAACAAACCCTATAACAAGTAGAGAAACTGATAGCGAACAGCATGGATCCTGATCAGACTGCGCGGATGCGCAGGCTGGTCTGGATCCATGCTGGTCGCAAACCCACTATGTTGGTTTTGTCATGACGCGGCTCATTTGATGTTGATTAATGTTATTTAGCATTTTTAATTTGCTATAGATGTTATAACGATGATTATATTTGAAGATCAGTCAGTTAAAGTTTCTCAATTCTCATATTATTATCAAAAATAATTTAATGAAGACGTGCGTAAACAATGTAATGAAATAGACTTGTATTCGGCCATTTGAATGACCCAATACCAGAGAATGGTTAATGAAACTATTATGTTAAAGTGACTACAGGACTGTATTAGACTTAAGATAGGTCTGTTAATTTAAATCCTTAGAACCGAACTTGTTGGCGGAATCATCATTAATTTGATTGATATTGCATTTGTCACAATGGAACATAATATATATCAGATGAACAGTAATGCATTGAATGACCACAAAGAACCGTTAATATACATAGTATCGTTACTCTTTAATGTATGTAACTTAGCCGCGTCACGACAAAACCAACACAGTGGGTCTGCGACCAGCATGGATCCAGACCAGCCTACGCATCCGCACAGTCTGATCAGGATTCATGCTGTTCGCTATCATATTCTCTACTTGTAAAAGGATTGGTAAGCGAACAGCATGGATCCTGATCAGACTGCGCGGATGCGCAGGCTGGTCTGGATCCATGCTGGTCGCAGACCCATTACGTTTGTTTTGTCGTGACGCGGCTCAGTTTATCATTTCCTAAACGGATTTATTGCTCTGGTGTTCAATTCATTGGCTAAAATTCATGTCAATATTAATTCTAAGGGACGCCATCTTTTGGTTGAAGGACTGAGTTATTGTAAGGATGAAAGTTAGACGTTGATGTTGTACTTAAATATTTAATGTATACATCTGTGTGTATATAAATGTAAGACATCCAATAGGATATTAAATAATTATTTTCATATAATAATAACAACGACATATTTTTGATGTAAGCAATTATATTACATGATATTTGTGGTAACTGGGTATGACCCAACATGAGTACAGGTGCCAATGTCTACATGTAGAACAAAAGTGAACAAAAATAACAAAATACAAGAAAAAGGAAACCAATATACAGCTATCCATGCATATTTTTCAGTCGGAACACCTCGGCTATTAATTATAATATTCTTCTCTGAGTTTCGATAAGATGTGATTGATTTTTTTTATCTGCTTTGTCCTATATACCATACCATGCTGTGAATTATCACAAGCGGCATTTTACAAACTTTGCATTAATGTTAAGGAATGTAGTAGTATAGGAATGGATGTATAACACCGCATCCAGTGATCATTATATCAAATAATCAAATTTATAATTCATTTAATCAATATGTTAAAAAATAAAAATAGTGATTTCGTGATGAAATGATTAATTCATAAACTTTATGGTAAACTGTCTATATCTGTTTTTCCTATTAACGATTGCTACAGCTTTCATGATAGATGTCTGTTCTCTGTTGTCATGTAAAATAATATATTATACTTTTTTATGTAATGAGATAACAGATTTCACGTGCATTTACACATGTTTCATACAATACGATGGTTAATGTTCGTGACTGATTTATTCGGTCGGATATGAACTGGTATGTACTAAGTGACATGACAATGCTATTTCAATTCGGTAATGACGTAACAATGCTAGTTTGTCGGTAATAACGTGGTTATGATAGTTTATGTCGATAATGACATAGTAATGCTAGTTTATGTCGGTAATGACGTGGTAAAGCTAGTTTATGTCGGTAATGTAATGGTAATGCTAGTTTATGTCGGTAATTACATAACAATGATAGTTTATGTCGGTAAAAACATAACAATGCTAGTTTATGTCGGTAATGACATAAAAATGCTAGTTTATCGGTAATTACGTGGATATGATAGATTAGGTCGGTAATGACATGGTTATGTTTGTTAATGTCGGTAATGACATGGTAATGCTAGTTTATGTCGGTTATGACGTGGTAATGCTAGTTCATGGCGGTAGTGACGTGGTAATGCTAGTTTATGTTGGTTATGACGCGGTAATGCTAGGTTATGTCGGTAATGACGTGGTAATGCTAGGTTATGTCGGTAATGACGTGGTCATGCTTGTTTATGTTGGTAATGACGTGGTAAAGCTAGTTTATCATGTTTATGTCGATAATGACGTGGTTATGCTTGTTTATGTAGGTAATGACATAACAATGATAGTTTATGTCGTTTATAACAAAACAATACTAGTAAATGTCGGTAATGACGTGTTAATGCTAGTTTATGTCGGTAAAAAACATGCATCATATTGAATCGCCGGTATTTTAAAAATTTTCAAATGGGGTTTAGTTGAACTGGAACGTGGAGAAAAATCAAAATGATATACGTTTAAACTTATTTTATCCAAAGTATATACAGAATAACATTAATTTACAAATATAATATAAATCATCTCATACAGTCAAGAAAATGACTTGGAAAAGTAGACATAGTCTTATATTGATCCTTTTTAAAAAAAATGATATTCCTTACTATATCAAATGCATTTTATATGTACATGTATATCAATTAACTAATGATATATGGAGTAAATGCTATAGTATATTTTATTATAAGATGTATGTTTTATTATGATGCTATTTTATATAGCTCTATCATAATAAACGGAATCTCTGTCAAATAATGTGTGTATGAATGTGCGATACTTGCCGACTGCTCAACTGTCACTGCACGAGAATCGAGTGTTTCGTTCCGTAAAATCTTGTTTATATATTTAAATATCATATTTGTGAAGGGAAAGAAAAAATGCTGTTTTATTGTTGTTGTTGTTGTTGCTGCTGCTGCTGCTTCTGCTGCTGCTTCTGCTGCTGTTGTTGTTCAATGACTTCTTCATCTTATCTTCATCTTCATCTTTCGTATCCGGAAAGTTTCATTTGGTATCGATTTCAAAGAATTGTTGATTCTTTTATGGTTCTTTTCTGTGTGAATAATTATCGCAAAGCATATATATATAAAGCTTTTTATTCATGAAAACAGGGTAATAGATACAATGTAAAAAGGATTCCGAACACTGTTCTTGAATGGTTTACAGTTGGTTTGTTTGTATAAATACATGTCAGATCCGGAACAATAGTTGTCTCTTTTTAAAAATTTAAACTGTGCTTTAGGCTTATTGGAATTACAAATATTGTATATAGCCTTAATACATATTCACGAAAGCGTTAGTATGTATCTGTATTGATAGATATCATTGTATAAATAAACTGCTAAGGAATAATGTTTCATGATTTATTTACTGAAAATAACGCTATTTCAAGATTAGATATATGGATTGGAACCACAATGTAGTTCAAATTAGGTTGTAGATCTTTATTCGCGAGTTATGAAATGAATAATAAATTGGGGAAAAAAGAGGCTTCAAAATTGTTGTTGCGGGCATAGTTCAGGCAGCAGTGTGTTTCATATATTCATTTGTTCGTTTGTTCGTAGTCCGTCCGTTTAGTAGTTCGTTCGTTTATTCATTCATTCATTCATTCATTCATTCATTCATTCATTTTCTGACTGATTGAGCAATTGGTTTATTGATTTGTGATCAAACTTTTCATCTTGCGACAGCTAACAAATCATCTTTTATTTATAGATTCTAAATCATATTACCTCTAGTACATTCACATTATTCAGGAAGACAATAAAATGTACATCAGCGTCCTTGTAACCCTTGGCAACAATGTTCTAAAAGTGTTTATACAACAACAATTTTAACTTTATCAGCCTTTTCGCATAGTAATGTCCTGTTCTGTTTCTTTGTATTAAATACCAATGTTTATATAGTCAACATTGGCATTATATTTTATTGAATATATTTGGTAGCTAATACATGAAAGATAACTTATACCATAATACTAACTTATGGTTTTACGAGTTTCTTCCCCTACAATGAACGTGTGTGTGAATCAAATGTGTATATGTCAAGTGATAATATGTCTTAAGTACTTGATTGTTGATTCATCGATTATGTTTATACTTTACACTTCATAATGACATGTTTTTTTTCTCAAGTGAAAAAGACACATATGAGCTGCGTCACGACAAAACCAACATAATGGGTTTGCGACCAGGATGGATTCAGACCAGGCTGTGCATCCGCGATCCATGCTGTTCGCTATCACTTACTCTACTTGTTATAGGGTTTGTAAGCGAACATCATGGATCCTGATCAGACTGCGCGAATGCGCAGGCTGGTCTGGATCTATGCTGGTCGCAAACGCACAATGTTGGTTTTGTCGTGACGCGGCTCATATGATATTCCGGATAATGTAATATTATATTCATTTGTATAACTACTACGACGGATGTTGATTATTACGCGGAAAAGTGTCGCTATTTCCTTATCTTTTAAGTAGACTGAATTAAACTTTATTTTATTAACACACATATTTTGTAAATAAACTGAATGTTCAGTCATGTATCATATGTTAGCAACGGTAGCTATGGAAACCATACATTACGATTTTTTGCTCACTTTCGTTTATTTATATGAATACATGTTTTATAATTTTGCTACTGCTACTGCTGTGCCACTGGTCCTGCCAATTTCACGTTTTATAATTTTGCTACTGCTACCTTCACGTTTTCTACTGCTACTACTGCTACTTTCTACTTCCCATACAAGTAGATT